CGGGCACCTCGGCAACGTGAATGTGTCTCCTAGTGAAATAATTCTTTGGCTTGACCAAGCAGGGTCTGCTTCCAGCCCCTCCCACCACAGCTGGGCAGGAGTATTTTAATCACTCCTGATTTTCTAGATATGAGCATTGTGCTTAGCAGGTCGTGGAGACTAACTGAATGAATGAAGCAAGCATAATCAGTGAGATAGTCACTGAATGAGTGAATGAATGGATATCATTGTTTTTCTATATGTACTATTATTCCAGTTAGTAAGACTGAATCACAAGATCTTGCAGAAAAAAAAAGATAATTAATATAGTCATGATAAAGAGAATTTAACAATCCAGGACAGTCTAGTTTGATGGTAGTTTAACAACATTTTTTAAATTTGGTGGAATTATCGAGAAAGTAGCCTATTGCAATTTTATTGTTCGCAGAGAGCTCACCCATAAGCCAGCTGCCCAGCCTCACCATGAAACAAGGTTTGAAAGTCTTCAATTTCCTAGTCACTTCAAGTCTATTTTCTAGTTCATCTTCGTCTTATGATCTTTGAAATCCACTGGACCCTTACGGAATCAGAAGCTCTGAAGAGCAGGAGAAACGGATCGTGAGGAGCACAAATTCAGGCACAGAGACAACAGAAGAGAAACTCTCACCACAATTATTTCTGCACCTTTGGCCTCTTAAGGAGAGCTGTAAACTAGCAACCTGGACACCCAGAAGACCCAGCCCTTTTATTAACAAGAAAGGGTTACCAAAGTAGCTTTCTGCTCTACTTGTCTTAAGAACTTGCTCTGAAGAATTTACAAAACAAACAAACAAACAAAAAACCCTTTGGACAATGTAGTTATAAAATTTTTGAAACCTAAAAAAGAAGGAGGAACCATGGAAAAGCCTACGGTTTACATTCGAGAGAGCAAATGTGCCCTTTTAATCAAGGCAGGAAGCCATTGTGGTTTTGTTTTGTTTTTTTTGTTTATTTGTTTTAAAGATTTTTAATTGATTTTCAGAGAGAGGAAGGGAGAGGAGAGAGAGAGAGAGAGAGAGAGAGAGAGAGAGAGAGAGAGAGAGAAACACCAATCGGCTGCCTCCCCCAGCCGGGGATTAATACTGCAACCTGGGAACTGAACTGGCAACTCCTGGGTGCATAGGACAATGCCCAACCAACTGAGACACACCGGCCAGGGTATCACTGTGGTTTTAAGTGGGAAAACTAATCTAGTATCTTCTTTTACATGGACATTTCTCCCATGAAAAGTTGGCTTTCCGCCCGCCTGATCTGAGATTATGCCAGGATGTGGGCAGGCGAGGGAAAGGCAGTGAGGGGTAGCCAATTAATTAGTCAATCAGAAAGTATTTATAGAGTTCTCCATGTACACGGCAGCATGCAGGCTCAGTGGGAGATACAAGGAGAATCAGCCCATGAAAAGCTCGGACTAATCTCCTTGGGAGGCAAGGTGTGCATGTGCTGGCAGAAAAGACAGCATGAGGTGGTATTTTAATTGGGCAGTATGTCTTCCAGGCACCAGAAGGCTATACAGACAAACACGCTGTTACTCTGGGCTTATCACCATTTATTCTGGGCCATGGGGTGTCAATTTTCAAAGTGACTATGAAAGCTGCTTTTTATAACTGGTTGGACCAAGTAGGTAGGGCCTTTATAGACCCTGAGCATACGATGGTTTGGGTACAATATATGAGGGAGGAAGGAGTGTTATTTTCCAAAAATGATTCCACAGAGATTATGCTTGTGTCCTTTGCAGGGGACAATTTAAAAGCAAAAGAATCATCATAAGAATGTTTAGGGGGAAATATATGACTAAAAAAGTACTAATTACATAGCCAAATTTTCATTTCATAGTAACCATTACACATAAGTTTTGAGAAAACCTCTTTTAAATAAATTAAATGTTGAAAATAATAATGATAATAAATAATAATATGATAATAATAGCCTAAACTTTTCAGCTGCTCATTTTCCTTGGCCAGATCTTGCTGAACATTGCAAATCCCCAAAGACTTGATGTAGCGGTATGTAGATCTAACTACTCCCATGGAAAGAAAAATGAGATGGGCTGTCTTCATAGTAGGAGCTAGCAAGTTTATCACTGACCATGTGCCATTCTTTGTATGTCTTCATATGCATACTTCCATCAACTCTATGTATAAGTAAATAACTAAAACAAAGCAAACTAATAATGTCTTTTCCCAGAGTCTCCCAGCTAGTGACTCCAAAGCCTCTATACCACCCTAGTTAAAAATAGACAAAACAATTGAGATCTTATAAAATGTTTGAAAGTGTGGGGAACTCTGGTTTTCTGGAAACTGCCATGAGAAGGATAGAAATGTGTGCATGCTCTCTTCCTCAGTGCTTTAAGCTTAGTCATGGTACTATTGGTATTACATCCACCATCTTGCCATTTTCCCTTCTTCTCTGGCTTCCTGATCCACATCATTTGTCCACTGACCCTGACTCATTCCATAGCCGGATCTAGCTGTCTGCATTTGCTTTGACTCCCCTATCCATTTCCTCAATCTAATTCTTAATTCCTGGCTCCCACCTCCTCGTCAAAACTTGGCTAAATCCATTTTGAAAATCCAAGGCAAATGGAATTCCCTGGGAAGAATTTGGAGAATCTGCAGCTCTGTTCTTTCTTCATTCTTGAGAACCAGGCTAGCAGCTGAGGGCGCATGTGGGGAGAAGGGTGTGTGTGTGTGTGTGTGTGTGTGTGTGTGTGTGTGTGTGTGTTAGAGAAGAGGACACAGCCATCTTGGACCCTGTCATGTTTTTTGGGAATACTAACGTATGTTTTCTATATCTTGGTGTATTCTTTCTTTTATTTGTTCTTCCATTTCTTCTAGAAACTGTTCTAAATTTTTAAACCCAGAGGCATCTTTCCAGCTTCCTTGCATGAAGTTGCATATTGACCTCGTATGCGGCTGTGGCAAGACTTCAGTTCATGGTGATTTCGCATGAAGTGACATCTGATTCACTTTTAGACTGCATTCCGCACCAGTCTGCCCAGCCCTGCAGTTTATGGGTTAACTCCTATTGTCTTTCAACATATTCACTTCTAGATAATGTGTGGTTTGGGTCTTGTCTGAGAAGCTGATTAAGCCACAGTCAGGGACAGCAATCCTACGTGTGAAATGTAACAGGCCTTCCTCTAACAGCTCTGGGGTGACTGGAGGTACTTGGTGCTTTTCTGTTGGGGGACAACGAGCTCACTAGGAAAGCAAACACATTCTTTTCTAGCGTGGGCTTGGTCTATGGTGGTAACATTTGGCAAGTTGAGTAACAGGGAACAGATAACTGTGAACAGATGGGCAACTATTAAAAGATTAGAGGGGCTTTTATCGTTTCTCAAATGGCCTTCACCCACCTACCTAACAGGATACCCAGTTCCTTCACAAGCTTACGTAATGGATTTAATTTTCTTCTTCCTTTTTTTTTTCACTTGCAATGGAAGCAAAAGCTCTGACATTAAGAGGAAGAGAATAGATGAGAAACTTCTAATTTTGAGTGCCCTTGAGATTAGATGCTGATTTCAGCCATGCAGAGAACACTGCCCCATATTTTGAAAGAGTGGCTGCTGGCAATTTTAGAGGAGATGACTTTCCAAAACAGACAGTGAGCCTTCCCCATCCGCGTCTGATGACCATCTGACATTTGGATGCAGAATTACCGAGCTATCCATGTGCTTTGATAAGTATAACCTTGTTTTTAAAATAAGGCAATGGCAAGTCATTACATTTAAGCTCAAAACTACAAAATACAAAAGAGAAGTGCCTTCCCGGCAGAAAGAGAAAATAGTTACACATCTTAGGGCAATAACATTTGCCCACGCTCTGGGCAGTGTTGTCTGAGATGCCGGAGCGTGTCATCCTCTGTGGCTCAGAATGATGCTTGGAAAGTTCCTAACAGTGAGACGCACAGACACTGAGATGAGGCCTGTTTTACTCTCTCTGAGGCAGCAGCCTGATTTTGCCAAGACCATAGGTTGGTACGGTCAGAGTTATGGTACCTATTAGCTAGATCTCAGGAATCTGGCCAAACGAGCTTGGCTTCCATTCCTCCGAGGCTGCCTTAATAACATACATTCCGGGTCAGTAACTCTAAGGGACTCACCTTGTGTACACTCACTGTGGCTATCTAACATCTGTTTGGAAGCAGGAAGGACGGATCGGTACCCAGCCTCACTTTCACCCCCAATTCCTTAGCCAACCTCAGAGCCAGCTTATTTCTGCCAAGAGTGTTGGGTAACTCAAGATTGCTGTCTCCAGAAACTACCGCACCTAAAACTGAATTTTGTCTAAAAACAACCAACATCAAAGGGAAATAAATTTTAAATTAAAATACCCACCATTCAAAATAATTGCAATTTAAAATAATTTAGCAACAGACCCCTGAAACACACGAATAGCAGGTAGAAGACAATTCGCTCTGGAGGCAATGGCCTCTGTTGGCTCCTCAATGATGCACAGTTTCACAAACTCACAGTTCGCCTGGGCTGTGCTATTTGGTTTAAGGTAACTAAGTAAACAAGGGGTTAGTGTCCCCTGCAGAATTATACTTTAACAGAAAGAATTATTGGAAATGGTTAAAGTCTCCTCCCACCATTAGCAATAAGAGTTGACAGTATTAATTGTGAATATATATTCTTGGGCTTTTAAGTAAGTGGTGGACATAGATTGTATCATAGCTCAAAGAACCACCCAAGGAAACACTTGATAATGCTGTCAAGAGAGTGAATGTTCGTGCATTGTATATGGGGCTTGTGAAAGTCACTGAATTGAATAAACTCAATAAAATTTTGGGAGGGGGGGTTGTTCTAAGTTTCATGTTCTTTTGCTTTTTACATATTTCCCTGACACGTAGAAATACTCTCTAGGTAATTAAAGCCCTTCCCAGCAATTTTTATTTTCCTTCTTGCCACTGCTAAGTGTGATGGTGTCAGCTTGCTAATCCTGCCTGAGCTCACATGAACTCCATTTGTTCCTGTCTTCTAGAATGGAGGCAATGCAGGGATTGGTGGAGAGACTGGAACAGGCAGTCGGCCGACTGGAGTTGCTGTCTGCGGTGTCACACCGGCCTCCTGGGAACTGTGGGGAAATTAACGGTGTCAACGGAGGTAGGGCCACAAACCGTTGTCATTACCCATCTCTACGTGGGTCACTTCATTTTGTCCCCATCACTTAGTTCTCAAGAAATATTTCTAGCCCTAACCGGTTTGGCTCAGTAGATAGAGCATTGGCCTGCGGACTGAAGGGTCCCAGGTTCAATTCCGGTCAAGCATGTACCTTGGTTGCAGGCACATCCCCAGTAGTGGGTGTACAGGAGGCAGCTGATCAATGTTTCTTTCTCATCAATGTTTCTAACTCTCTATCCTTCTCCCTTCCTCTCTGTAAAAAAATCAATAAAATATATACAAAAGAAAGAAAGAAATATCTCTATCTACTTTCTTCAACTTCCCTACTCCTTCCTTTATATGTGACCATGACATTCACCAGATGCAAGCAATCCATGAAAAATAGAAAGGGAAAAAAAGTTTCAACGCACACTCCACAAAAATTACCAGTACCTCCGCCTGTTCAGAGCATAATCCATGTGCCAAGTATCATTATTCTTTCGTTTTAGTGTTTATGCTGCTCTTCCACGCTCAATGACTAAATATATTATCTAAGTGATTATCAAAAAGAAACTAATGTCCTCAGTTGGAATGTAAACTGGAAGGAATTGTTATTCTGTAGATTTTAACTTTAAAAAGAACAAGTCATTAAATTTAAGAACGGCAGTTTTAAAGGAGTGAACCTGATGTGAATCCGAATGTGAATTCCCAGTGACATGATCCCATCACATTGTTTTACTTGTGCCTGCTCCTAACCAAACACACTTTTAAAAATATATGCAAAGGCCCGGCCAGCGTGGCTCGGTGATTGAGCATCATCCTATAAACCAGGAGGTCACAGCTCAGTTCCCAGTCAGGGCACATGCCCGGGTTGCAGGGCTCGGTCCCCAGTGTGGGGCATGCAGGAGGTAGCCGATCAATGATTCTCTCTCATCATTGATGTTTCTATCGCTCTCTCTCCCTCTCTCTTCCTCTCTGAAATCAATAAAAGCATTTTTTAAATTACATGCTAACACCACACTTAAAAAAATAGATCCTAAAAACTATCTGAGCAAATATAAAAAAATTAACTATTTCTTTAACATGATACCAGGTATTGCAAACTCTCTAAGTTATCTACAGTAATTTTTCCAATTTCTTCTTGCCTAAGCTTGCAGATTTAGCAAATAAAAATACAGGACATCTAGTTAAATTTGAATTTTAGATAAGCTGACTTTTTTGGAGGCGAGGAGTTGTAAGTGTGTTCCAGATACTGCATGGTACACACTTATGCTAAAAATTTATTCCTTACTTATCTGAAATTCAAATTTAACTGGGCTATGTGTATTTAACCTAGCAACTCTATCCTTGTCTCACAAAAGGTTCCTCCTTATCTGACCCATTTTGAATCCTGTTAGGCTTTGGGGGCTGAGAAGAGACTTGTGGAAAGGGGGTTTCAAACAAAGCTTTCGCCAGGCAAGATCCACAGTGGTGCTTCTAGAATTTCAGGCGTATTTGGAGCTGTGCCTTGTATTACATGCCCTGGGACAAAAATTACTGTGTGAGCACAAATGTGCAGGCTGGTTTTTCCCGCTGAACATAATGAAAATTAAAATGCTCTGAGTGCATTGAAAGGGGTGCTATTTAAAGGAAGGCTGCCAGGGGCCTGTAAGTTGTTTCTGCATCAACAGAGACACATCTACGATTTCATTTTAAGCCTCTTTTTGTTAACTATACAGTTGCTCTGTGAGATTCAGTTAACCTTATTTGCAAGAATATATTTTTATGTTCTCTTCAGTAAATTTGTGTCCCTATTACTTTGGCATCTGGTGAACAAAAGACATTTCTCTAAAATTGCCAACCACAAATATAAAGCTGGTAAATACATAAAATAAAGTTAAATCCAACTACCCAGAGATTATGTAGTGTTGTTGAGTAAACGGAAAAAAAAAACCTCCATAATTTGAACTTCGCTTACTCAAAGAGCTACTAGACTGCACTTTTTATTTTTTTTATAAAAAATATATTCTGGGGCCCTGTCCGGATGGCTCAGTTGGTTGGAGTGTCATCCTGTTCACTCAAAGGTTGTGGGCTCAATTACCAGTCAGGTCAGGGCACATACCTAGGTTTTGGGTTCAGTCCATGGTCAGGGCATGTACGGGAGGGAACCAATCGATCTCTCTCTCTCCCTCTCTCTCTCTCTCTCTCTCTCTCTCTCCATTCCTTTCTCTAAAAGTCAATAAAAGCATATGCTCAGATGAGGATTAAAAACATTCTGGGAAAATTAATAGGCTAAGCAAAATTGAAAGGCATATAATTAAATTACTTAAGTATTTAAGCAAATGTTTTCTCACTTATTAAAGTCAGGTCTTTTAAAACAACTAGCCACCAATTTATTACCCTATTTAAACCGAAGTGATAATTAGTAAGTAGGATAGTTAGTAAAATGTCTGAATGATATCCATCCTTAAGACATTTTCAACATCGCTTTTATTTCTTCTTAATTAGTAAGCTTTTGTAATTATCTAAATTCTATTTTGAAAAAACCCTTAAGGACAACCTCTCACCTTAAATATAAACATCAGCATTACAATGATGCTATAATTCAAGTTTAAAAATTATTTTTTATTTAAAAAACTTTTGGAAGGAATCCGGTCCATTACAAATCCATCCATGCACAGACCAAAGAACTGCCTTCTTAATGATACTCGTGTTATGATATGTGTGCTATGCTTTTTTTTATCCCTGACAATCAGGTAAGTTTGGCTCAGCAGTGGAAGAAATATTGTTGCATGCCTGCCAAGTGGCAAGCACTGTAATAGGTGCAAGAAACTCTAAGATGAATCATGTACACAGTCCTAATCCTCTAGGACAGTGGTCGGCAAACTCATTAATCAACAGAGCCAAATATCAACTGTACAACGACTGAAATTTCTTTTGAGAGCCAAATTTTTAAACTTAAACGATATAGGTAGGTACATTGTTATTAACTTAATTAGGGTACTCCTAAGGCTTAGGAAGAGCCACACTCAAGGGGCCTAAAAGCCGCATGTGGCTCTCCAGCTGCAGTTTGCCGACCACGGCTCTAGGATCTTGGGTCTCAATGCATTACTGTACAGGGCCACAAATGCTTCGATTGCGGGGTGCTCAAAGGATGCAGGCTGGGAAGAAATACAGGTCATCGGAGGCTGCCTGGAGGAGATGTGAGCAGAGCTGAGTGATGAAAAGCCATTAGAAAACATTCCCTTATATCATTGTACCTTCTCCACCACATTACTAAAACTTTCCACTACTTTGAATACTCAACAGAGACCTACCTCTCCGGCCTCTCTCACACCAGCAAACAGTTTTGCCTGTTTCCAGATAGATCCATAAAGAATCTTTGGGCTTTCACCCCTTTTAGGTTCTGGAAGTTAGAAGTTAAACTAGGTACCGAAAGCTGAAGACAGCTGTTTCGGTCATCCTTTGGGCCTGTGGAAATGGGCAACTGGGAAAAAGGGAAAAGGAAGGAAAACTTTATCTGACAGATCTATGAGCTTGGATATTTCTGTCCAATATGAGAAAGGCAATCCTAGATTTTGTTTTGGATTTTAGCCGCCTATAGTGCTGAGGTTCTCCATGTTATCTTTCTCAAGATTAGGCACATGAAGTCTAGGACTTGGACAAATTTTTCCTGTGAATTAAGAGGCAGGGAGAGTTCAGAGCACATCAGGCTAAGCCATTGTCACCACAGCTTTTACAGGGATTTGACACATCAAACTTACTCTGCAGTAGCTCAGCAGTCTCTCCTGCCCACCTCTCCTCCCCTGGAAGTGAAAAAGGGACAGAATGTGTGACATCAGCTTTCTTTTCCCACTTGCCCACAGTCCATATTAGCTTCTAGTTGCCCTGGATAACATTGGTAACTGTTGGCAAAGCTATTACAGCACCTGGTCTGGTCAGTCTAGAACAGTGGTTCTCAGCCTTCCTAATGCTGCGACCCTTTAATACAGTTCCTCATGTTGTGGTGACTCCCAATCTCATTGTTACAATTGAACATAATTAAAGCATAGTGATTAATCACAAAAACAATATGTAATTATATGTGTGTTTTCTGATGGTCTTAGGCGACCCCTGTGAAAGGGTCGTTCGACCCCCAAAGGGGTCGCGACCCACAGGTTGAGAACTGCTGGTCTAGAAGGAAGTACACCCGCTGTGGATGAATGAAGCTTGATTCTGGTTTTGGATCTGCCTCTTACGTGGCATATGGCTTTGGTCAAGTCACGTGCTCTGTTTGCATTTTCATTTCTGATCAGAAAAGCCGTGGTGGTGCTCCTTACCTCATGAGTTTGGGGGAGAATTAAGTGAAATTTTGTAGGTGATAGTGCTTACTGGGGAGGGTGAAAAATAGGAAAGTATTGTTTTCTTGAGCCCTTGAGAAGTGTGTAATAAACACTGATTGAAGGAATGAATGACTTAGTCAAGAGAATGAAAATGGCATGAATGATAGTAAACTTGCATATTCCCCATGGTAAAGCAGTACCAGCTGTTCATTAAACCACCAGGGAATCACAACATGTTCTTCCTCCAAAGGTGTGGCCCCCTCGGTGGAAGCCTTTGATAAGCTGATGAACAGCACGGTGGCGGAGTTTTTAAAGAAGAGTAGGATCCTCGCTGGCGATGTGGAAACTCATGTGAGTACTTTCCTCTCTTGCCCTGCATGGAAAGATAACACGGTCGGCAAGGAAAGGAGATGGTGGGAGGTGGGTGCGCTGCTGGTGGGAGTGTCACATGTGTGGCCGGTATGGGAAAGAGGATAGTGGTTCCTCAAAATAATTAAAGGTAAGATTATCATCCAATCCGGCAATTCCCCTTCTGGATATATGCCCCAAAGAATTAAAAGCAGGATCTCAAAGAGATATTTGTACACCTATGCTAACAGCAGCATTATTCCCAACAGCCAAAAGACAAGGCAACCCAAGTGTCTGTGGACCATGAATGGATAAGCACAAGATGGTATACAAGGGAATATTATTCAGCCACACAAAGGAAGGGAATTCTGACACATGCTACAATAAAGATAAACCTTGAGGATATTATGCTAAGTGAAATTAGCCAGTCACAGGAGACAAATGCTGTGTGATTCAATTATAACGTATCTAGTGTAGTCACACTCATGGAGATGGAAGGTAGAAAGATGGTTGCCAGGGTGGGGAGAGGGAGAAATTGGAACTTTTTAAATGGGTATAGAGTTTTAGTTTTGTGATGCAAACTAACTTCAGAAAACGTTCTGGAAATCTGTTGCACAACAGTGTGAATATACTTAACACTACTAAAGTGTACACTTAGAATGGTTAAGAGGGTAAATTTTGTTCTATGTTTATTTTACTACAATTAAA